GTGGTGACGAGGTGGAAAACTTAAAAAAGTGTCACATTTGACGGAAGGAACTTGATTGTTAATTCCATGTCATATTTGTCATAAAAGCCATGTTGGTTTGCTCTGTAAGACGGAGTGAGTTGTGTGAATGAAACCAACAGTGGCCAGTATTTTCTTGTTCCCTCAAAGCTTTTACATTGGCATTTTAGTGTTTCACTGTAAGAACTGTATAGTACCGGAAGCCCAAGTGTCACATTCAGAAATCAGAGCTCTCATTAAATGAATCCAATGTAATACAGCATGGTAGCTTTGCAAATGCTGTAATTTGTTTTCATCTTGATGGCATTAACTAGTGACACATTGTAGCTAGGCTTCTAAATACTGTATGGAGATAGATCAGAAACATACCTACATATTCTGTTTGAAGCAGATCTTGTGTCTGAAGAGTTACAAACATGACATTGATGCATAAACTTTCAGGTTTTCTGGCATATCAAATGTATTTGGATATTATTTGTCTCTCTATGTCTCTACAGCCCTTTATTGGGCCCTGGCTGCTTTTCAGTTTCTTAATCTTTTACACAGCCGGTAGGACTCCTTGGATGGGGGATCAGCATGTCGCAAGGCTGATACCTGCACACACAGGACAACACAAACATCCATGCCTCAAGTGGAATTCAAACCCACAATCCCAGTGTATGAGCAGGTGAAGACAGTTCATGCCTCAGACTGCTTGGCCATATTTGGATATTATACCAGTGAAAATTACTTGTAGAAGTGGATCAAGAATTGTATAATTATTAATTAATAGTTCTTTCTATCATCCTCATACAAATTAAAATGTTGGGAACAATTTTGACATAATTAATTCCGCTGTGAAATATTTGTCTTGTCCCTTTTGTGATGGCGATGTAGGTCTATTTATTAATTGTGATGTGTGTATTCACAGCAACATTGCATTATGGTATAAAGTTTCAATTGAAATAACATTTTGTTCGTAACAGCGGTAGGCATGAAACTGCTATCCAGCTATTAGCACACCTGCTTTGGATTTAGGAAGGTCTCAATTCATATTTTAGCCCAGAAACTGGTTATCCTGATACAGATTTGTTGTCGTTTTCCTGAGTCTTCCCAGACAAATGCCTGATAAAATCTTAAATTATATCTCAGCTGCTTCCTTGCACATCCTGTCCAATTCATTATTCCTGAATCATCTTATCAATCAGTGCTGTATGATCTTAGCATTTGGAAGCAAATGGGTAGGTTTGAAGTTATTTCTGTTTGTGTTCTGAATAGGGTGTGGGTCCAACAGCTCAGAGGGCTGCTGTTATTGCAGCTGTGGAACTTCCTGTTTATGACTTCTGTAAACATCACTTGATGAGCTCACTTGGTAATCACATCTCCAACCATTTTGTGTAAGTAAATATCTTTATTAATGAGGTTTTCAAAAGAAAAAATATGCAGTATACTCCCAATTGTCCAGTATCCAAGTACCCAGAATTCTCTTCCAACCATTTTCATAAGTTCTTTAGAAACAAGTTTGCAATCCATATTCTGTGAAGGGATAGGAGGTTGGAGAAAACTGCATAATGAGGAGCTTCATAACTTGTAATCTTCTCCAAACATAATTAGAATAATGAAGTCAAGGAGGATGAGGTGGGCAGGGCATTTAGCATAAATGGGGGAGAAGAGGAGTGCGTATAGGATATTGGTGGGAAAGGCAGAAGGAAAGAGACCACTGGGAAGACCAAGGTGTAGGTGGGTGGACAATATTAAAATGGATCTTAGAGAGATAGGATGGGATTGTATGGATTGGATTGATCTGGCTCAGGAGAGGGACCCGTGGAGGGCTCTTGTGAACATGGTAATGAACTTAAGGATTCCATAAAGTGGTGGGAAGTTCTTCAGTAGTTGCACAATTGGCGGCTTCTCAAGAAGAGCTCAGCTCCATGAGTGAGTGACTGTATATATTTATTTCTTTGTTTAGTTATATTTTTATATGTATATCTCATTTCCTTATGGGAAACAATAATTAAAAACATGACTAGTGGCTTTATTGTTTCAGTTCAAGTTTCATTGCAAGTCTGGGAAGTGCAGTTGCATCTACTCCACTCGATGTAATTAGGGTAAGCTCAGTTTTAGTATCATATTTTCTTTTCAAGATAGTATGAAAAGAACAAAACTGTGCTGTAAATTATTTTTGTAGTGATATGTTCCCTCTCAGTGCAGTATCACAATAAACTTATTTTCCATACCACCTGTGAAGAAAAAACGTGTCGAAATGATGTCTGTTCATATGGGTATGAAACTTGAACTTCTTCTGAAGCTGGAGATAGCAGGTTCCCCCAAAACACTGGCAGCATAGCCTGCTTCACATGCACAGTAACCTGAAACACTGTCAACACAGCCCACTTCAGAGGCACAGTCCCAACAAAACAGGATTATCATCACATGGCCTCAGTATGGACCCCTCTAAGCGGCCTCCGTAGTCTAGGGGTAATGTTCCCACCTCATGACTCAAGGTACGCAGGTTCAAACCTGGCGGAGGTTGTGGAATTTTTAAGGGCGGAAAAATTCATGGAACAAGTCCTCTGGGAGGGGCTTTAAGCCGTGGGTCCCATGTCTAAGATTTATGACACGTAAAAGATCCTCATGTCTCTAGGAGACCTCTGAGCAAAATTAGGTAAAAAGTTTCCCTCCCAAGTAGTTTCCAATGCCTCCGGTAGATGGGGAAGTATCGGGTACCACTGCCAGTAGAGGGGCCGAACTCGCTGGCTGAATGGGGCTGATAGCAAGCACCAGTACTGGAAGGGTATGGTGACTGGTAGAATATCAAAGGGGGACGTACAATAGATCAACAACTGGTTGCGGTGCATGGGGAAACCCAACCCCTCCAAAAATGAATGAATGAATGGACCCCTCTAGTAATTCTATCCAGCCTTTTGGATATGCCACTGCCCCCATGTTTGTCAGTGTGCATTTCTGTGTATCTCCCCACCATTTCTGTGCATGAACAGTGGAAGAACAGCGACCTTACTACAGTAAGCTGATCATTGCTTATATGTTGTGTAGCATGTGATAATACAGGAATTTCTGGATGCAGTTTGTGCAGTTTTGAAGCATAAAATAGCAACATACATATGAAAAGGCATGAAACCACACATATATAAATATATTTCTTTTTAACAGTTATTGGCTAATAGAATGTGATGGAAAATGTTACCATATTCTCAACTAATCACTGTTTTGTGTGTGTGTACACTCTACACACAATTAATAATATTTGTATGTTGGTTACATAATCTATGTTCTTTGACATGGTTTTTGGCTTATGTCACCAAATAGTAATGAACATACAACTTTTTCATTATTCAGTCTGTCAAGAATTTAGTTCAGTCTTAAATGGTTATGTTTCATATGTTGGTTATATAATTTATATTCTTTGACATAGTTTTGGGTTCATGTTTCTGCACATAGTTATGAACGTAAAACTTTTGCACTGTATTCAGTCTGTCAAGAATTTAATCCAGACTTAAGTTGTTAAGCTCTTACGAAAAGGAATATAGCAAAGAGTTGGCATAGCAAGTCCAGAAAATTGAATTGTGTTATGTGAACACCATATATTCACAAATCTTATGCATGTGTTTACATACTCTAGTGTCTCTAAAACAGAGAGTAATCTCACAGTTGAAAGGAACTGTTGTAGAGCATTTTCTTATAATCATATTTGTACATATAATTTCTTTCTAAACAGACTAGATTGATGAATCAGAAGAAACTGAAAAAAGAAGTAGGCGGTACAAGCTGTCGGATTTATACAGGAAGTATTGATTGCCTTGTTCAGGTATGTACATTTATTTCTTTCGTTTTAGTGTTAATGAAGTTAATGATCAGGCAAATACATTCTCAAGTTGCACTTTTGTTAATATTAAGCTATATTATTGTGGAATTAAATAAAGTGTGCATTGGTCAAGTTTACTTCTTCCTGTATACACCAGTGTATCATGTGCCATCTATGATTACACATGAAACTGATTTATAAATGGTCTGGTCTTCTTATTGGTCGGTAACTTATATTCCTCCAAAACTGGTTATTCAGGCAAATAATTAGTTATAGTTTTCTGATATGTTAAATCTGACTCACCACAGGGACTAACAATAGGCTCATGTAAATATGCTAATGAATCTTCAGGTTCTGTAAAAGATGGGCAATTTCTTGACTGCCTGAATAACTATTAAACTTATCAATAAAGTCCCTGCCCCATGGAGTTAGTTTCTGATATGTTATATAAGTGAAATCTCCAGTATCAGTTAACAGCCAGTATAATTAACTTGATAGGGAGCCAGGGTAGCAGAGTCAGTATAGCAACTGGTTATGGGCTGGTTGACTGAGGTGTCAGATTTCAATTCCTGATAGGAGCAAAGTTATTCTCCGCTCCACATCTTCCAGATCAATTTTGGGGGCCACCAAGCCTCTTATCCAGTGGGTACTGGGGGCTCTCCCTGGGGGTAAAGTGGCCTAAGCATTTATCTCCTAGTGCTGAGGTCAAGAATATGTAGATATATACATCCACTTCCCCATACATCATGGCATATTGCTTAATTAGTTAAGTACAGGGACAATGTTACCATTACCTTAGTATTACCTTATTATTACCTTATATGGAACATTGTTATGTATGAAAAACCTCAGAACGCAAAAAAAAAATAAAAGAAAAGAAAGATGAAAGGGCTCACAGGAATGTAGATAATAGAAAAGACAAGATATTTTATTCACTGTGAGGAAGCCCACTTCATGGATGAAATATATAGTGCTGTCTTCCATCTGCTTACTGTGAGCCCTTGTGTCAGGAAATCCCTCTTATAGTTTTTGACTTTTGTTTTGTTAAGCATTGTAGCACATAAATGTATTGTAAAAAGCTTAAAAATCAAATCCCTGGCAAGGAATTGAACCTTTCTACCTTGAGTGTACTGTAATATTAATCTGATTATTAGTGTAACACATGAAATATTCAGAGAAAATTGTACAGTAAGTACAAGTTCCACTCTTGACCACAGTGCACTGAAGCATACTCATCAGACAAACATTAACACTGAAGTAAAGTAAAAGTAAATTTGTCCTTATGCTTAACTAATTAATCACTATGCCCTGAAGGCATATGGGGGAGTGGATGTATAGATCCACATTTTTCTTGACCTCAGAACTAGTTGGAAGTGAGTGGTCAGCTTCACGCTCTGCTTGCTTTACCCCCAGGGAAAGAGCCCTCAGTACCTATTGGATAGGGGGTTAGGTGGACCCCAGAGCTGGTCTGGACAACATGGAGAAGAGAAAATTCTTGGCCCTACTGGGACTTGAACTCCGACCACTTAGTCGTCCAGCCTATAGCCCGTTGCTATACTGACTATGCTGTCTGGCCTTTTAACACTAAAGTAGACCATGTGGAAATATTCTGAAATGTTCCATGAGAAATGTTGCCTCAAGATACTCTGTGGATATTTCCTTACTTGGTCATGTGATATGAGTGCATGCACCCTGTGCTGAAAACAGAGATTTCTTAGACTTTCTTATAGCCAGGAAATCCAAGACTTCAGAGCAAAGCTGAGTGAATGGTCATGAATGATTTCACATTGGGTCTGTGAGATCTCTTAACAGCCAGTTGCAGCCCCCTGAAATAACATGCCTGGTGAACAGTGTTACAACTTCCTTTTGACTAATAAAAAAGAAGTACCATAATCTTTACTGTCTGAATAAGCATACGAGGGGGGACCCAAAAATAACCAGAATTTATTTTTGTTATTTTTTATTTTTGCATTTTTATTGAACTGTATATTAGTCCCCTTCAAAGTATTGTCCATGTGCATTAATGCACTTGTCCCCAC